CCTGTCTTCTATTTCCTGTCTTTGTGTTCTTCCTTCCACTCTGTAGGTGTTCACACACACGTTTGTGGCTGCCCCTCGTCCTCTTCCTCTTGCATGTGTTCACTCTCTGCTAATCTGCATGGCTCACCTGTTCACTTCAGCCTCTGTACTTAAAGGGCATGCCTCAGTCCTCTGTGAAATACTGCCATCTGCTGGCAGCTGGGGAAGGTTCTGCATCTGTCTGTACAGTGTAGTGAGCTTGGTGTTTGAATTTAATTGTGCAGGTTTGCTGAGCTACACTGCGGGTGTGAATGTGTTTAAATGTGTTTTGAGTGCGTACGTTTCTAATTTTTGTAAATTATTGTTAGTCACTCAGGCAGGGCTAGATGAAGTGTTGCATCCAACAACTAACCCTTGTGTCGACATCGTCTCTGGGAGTTGTTATCAGTGACCTTAATCAGGCAGAGTGAGGGCCTGACAACCTAAAATCTAACATTAAAGTAACATTTCAGGTCCGATTGATTACAAGCATCGAGATTAAAGTGCATTGAGACAAAGTGCTCATTAAGATTAGAAATTAACTGAGTAACAAGTACACACCATCCTTTATACTCTGTTGTTAAAGAATCTAACACGCCAAGAACACAAACTATTCTTTTATTTGGTAACAAACTATACAGCTTGTTTATGGTGTGTTTGTGTGCTTTTGTTTGAGATATGAAATGAAAGTGGGTCAGGTATCATGGTTGTGTTCAAGCTTTTGTTTCAGAGGTGGTGTTTGGCCTACTTTTCGGACTCGGTGGAGCTGGGCGATACAGATGACTTTTTAGTATTTTGTTTATATTATTGGTGCATTTTATTGTATTTCCTTCATTGTTATAAATAAAAACTTTTTTCCTTTTTTTTTAAAAAGAAAAAGAAAAAAAGAAGAAGAAATAACCAAAACAACTACTTCACATCAGCTGAAAGGGAAAATATATTTTGCTGAAAAAGTGTAGTAAATAGTTTTTACTGTTAATGAGGATATAATGTAATATAGAACCAAGTATATACAGTATGCACCACATATATGTGGCCATTTCCTCATTTTATGTAAAAACAGTTCCCACACATAGTATTTTTCATATTTCCGGGTTTTTTTTTTTTTTCTTCGTCTCCTGTGATTAAAGACTATATTTTTAAGTGCTGCTGGGTCAGACCAAACCTGACAATATTCTTTTTAGCTCAAACAAGTGTTTAAAAAAAAAAAAAAAAAAAAGCGCAAATGTTTTTCTGAGCAACCAGGATATTAGGATGGCTGGAAATAGATTTTCTACCAGTAGCTGCCCACAGACTGTGTTTGCAGGCCTATTTATGTCAATGAGTTGATGGTCAGATAACCTATAAAGATAGCCATCACCATTTCCTACTGATTCAGACTACAAAACCACAGTTGAAATTTTTTTTAAGTAAATGCCTGCACAGACCAGCATCGTGTGACCGGACCACAGGCACGGTGTAGAGTCCACACAGAAACAGAGTTTTGATGGAAATTTGGTAAAAAGCAAACGACAGCAGTGCAGATACAGACCCCGTGTAAACTGTAGTCTGTAAAGGCCGTGCATCCTTCCTTTATTCAACGCCAGAAACAAAGGATGAACTCTTAGGGACAGAGTCTACATTTCATTTCTACAGCAACAACTGTTGTTGTGAAATCACAACTACAGTTGCCTCACGGTGCTTTATATTCTAAGGTAAACCCTACAATAATACAAGAAAAAACGAGAAGACCCCAACAATCATATGACACCCTATGAGCAAGCGCTTTGGCAACAACGGGAAGGAAAAACTAGCTTTTAACAGGAAGAATCCTCTTGCAGAACCAGGCTTGGTGAGGGACATCTATCTGCTGCGACCGGTCATGATGAGGAGAATGAGGATCTTCTTTAAAATTAAGTGCAGGAGACTTTGTTGCCCTGGAGGCAAAACACAGAGTAAGATGCTTAACGGTCTTATGAAAACATCCTTCCAGATTCCTCACGTGACAACATGCTGTCATTACTTTCACCTCGCTTCCTTGAAGAAGAGATTCTTCTGATAAGATGACAGCTTGAGGGCCTCGTGCAGGTTTCCTGCTGTGCAATACTTATTTGCATATGTCCCGTAGCTATGGCAACTCAGTTAACAGGTAACTGTGCGTGTCATGACGTGCTGCATGTTAATTGCAATTATGAGAACCTGTGTAAGTGATTTCACTAAATGAATGACCAATGACTAAAGTATAAACGTGTTAAAAAGAGATGTTGGCATATATTGTATGATGGAGTATGAATTATCTGCCTAGCAACCAAGCAAACATCATCGTTTACTATGCCAACACCAATTTGTGTTTAAAACATGTTTAGAGAAAGTTTTGATGTTCAGTAAACTGCACCTTCTTTAAAAAAAAAATCCCTAGAAAGAAAGTGTTAGCTGGTTGTTAGGGAAAATGTTTCTCGTAGAAACCACTGCCGCCCCTGAAAACTTCCGCTGCATTGTGGAGGATGCTTGAACCGGGTTTCATGCTTTAATCACTAACTGAGCGGTTCTGGCTGTGATAAATGTGTTGATTGTTTAACAAATTCAAAGTGTCTCCCTACTTCACCTGCTGCATTTGACTCCTTTTGTGACTGTGTGAGAGGCTGCCTGGTTGGGTGGAGTTTGTGGGGTGGGGGTGGTGGTGAGGCAAGCTGCCTGCTGTCAGAGGACGATTTCAGCCTGAAGCAGCAGGTTTCAGCCATCTCCATCGTGGAGGTGGGGTCCATCTTTTATGGAGGCCTCCGCTGAACCAGTAATTCCCCCACAAAGGTAACAACAGAAATCATAGAGAGAGGGGATGTTTGATTTTTATACCTGTGGAAGGATGGGCGAACACTCCATGCATGTGACTGTATCTCATAATGGCAGCAGGTTTATCAGGTTTTGACCTATAAGAGTCATGTCGATATCTACTGCCAGAGGCGTTTTCCTCTTTTTTTCAGTAGATGGAGCATGAGTCTGGCTTTTCTTTGGATCCTACGGGAGTAACAGGACATTTGAAGGGTTGAGTGGTGACGTGTCTGTCTCCAGATCAGCTTCTCAAATTTCTGATGAAGCTGTACAATCAGTATATTATCTATACGGGGCACTTGGGTTACTCCCTTTCTCCTCCCTCCTTCTCCTCCGTTGCTTTTACCTGTCATTGCAGGCTGCATAGTTCACCTTGTGTTTCCTTCCAGCTCAGTCTGTTGTTTTAGAAGTGTTAACGCAGTTCTATGAAGCTCAGGTGGTGTCATGTACACACATGCACTTAATCTTAAAATAATGCGTTGCCTACCTCATTGTTGCCACAGGTATATTTAGGTGTGAGATTTATTTCACTCTACGCCTCATTTAAATTAAAGCGCTGTTTAGATCTATACTCTGCATCAAAACTGTTCTCTGCCCTTTGTGAGAGGAGATGAAGCCAAATTATAGAGAAATTATCCAATGAGCAGCACTGAAAATACCAAATTTATTTAGTTTAGACACCACCTGGGCTCCATATAATTTTAACAATCCTTTAAGGTACATAGCAGGTGCTTCTTTAAGACTCTGCTCTTTCCCTTTTTTACGTATCCCAAACTGAAACCAACAATGACAAGAGAAGGCATGTGTTTCTCTTTCATGCTGCCATGAGAGGATCTTCGGATTCGTCATATGTGGTCAGGCTTTGGGAAGTTTTCACCCAGAGGGGGAAACACATGACTTTGTTGTGTCATTTGGCAATTTCTCTCGTTGTGGTTTTACGAGCAGATGGAAAATGTGGCACTAGATTCGTCATTGTGTTTTAAGCTGCTCCCCTTTTCTGCTATTCATGTATTTTCCCAGCCTCTCACCTGCTCTCTGTGTGTTTCCTGCTTCTTCTCTCAGACACATGGCTCAGGCAGACCTGAAGAACTCCACCTTTTGGCTGAGGGCGAGCGTCGGCGCCACAGTGTTTGCCGTGCTGGGCTTCGCCATGTACAGAGCGCTTCTCAAACAGCGGTGATCAGACAGAACCAGACTTCCCCTCTCTGGTCCTTCTGTTGACTCTGCCCCTTCTCCTCCCACCACTCATACCTGGGGAAAGAAAAGACTCACAAAGACGGCCTGACCCACCAGCCAGGCCTCATTTCTTGGTCACCATGAACAAACGTGCAGACTTATAGGTACCTTTTATATAAGGGAGTGTGGTGTTTTTCTCCTTATGTTTTGAAGAGGGGGGCAGGTTACATTTGAAACATCACCTCGGTTTGTAAATGCTGGCGTCGTTTGGTCTGTTGGTTTAGTCTAGGTGAGATTAGACACGAGTAGTCAGCTGGTCCAGTCCTCTTTTTAATTCCCCCCCTCCTCAGGTCAGTATAATTAGATATTTGGACACCAGAGAGAGGCAGACATCCACAGATCCACCACAAAGGGACTTGAATCTGTTTATAGATGTGTATATGCAGGTATTATGTATGTATTCCTTTAAAAAAAACATTTTAGGATCAAAGCTAAAGCCAGAACAGGAGGCGATGGGACAAAGAGCGCTGCATCTAACACTAAAAAGGTCACGGATGCCATGCACTTGTTTATTTTGTGTGTTTAATTTATTAACCTGTTTCTCTCTCTCGTCTGTTTTCCGAGTGCACCGCATGAAACTCTGGGATTTTTTTCTTTTTCATGTGTTTTTGTATTTAGTATTATCGAAGCCATTTTCATGGTGAACGACTACCTGCTTTGTTTTTATTTTTGTTTTTCTGCCTTTTGAATAAAGCTTTTTTCCTCCTTATATTTTTATGAAGTTAGACGCACCGTTTAAACCAGGCATCATTATATTAACAGCTGTTCGCCCTTTTCCCCACTTTGAGTCTTGTCATTCTTCATCTTCGGCGTTTTTAATAACGACTTGTGCCGTACGGATGCTGGTGGACAAGGAGAAATGAAATGGTTTTAAATATCTGTAATAAATTACCTTTACACCCACTTATGTCACTGTGTGTGTGTGTGTGTCACTGAATAGAAGCAGCAGTCATAGTAGAAATGGTCATTGCTGTACTAGCTTTGTGACGTGAACTCAAACAAATAGAACTTCTGTGCAGAATGCAGAAGTGAGAAGGTGATGTGGCTGCAAGCGATACTGCTCTCAGCTCGAGCGATGAGGAAGTCTCACCACACGCACACAGGTAGCAAGAACTGGCAGCCACAGTGTGAAATTGTAATCTGAAGGTTAACATGTCTGTGGATGGGACCGAGCTGCTTTTTGAGAGCTTTCTACAAAAAAGAAAAGACACGGTGGTAAGTTATAAAGCTCCTTTTGACCTTGAGTTACTGTGAACGTTACAGTTGTTGTTAGAAAGTGACTTTGGTCACTCTCTGCTGTGGTTGTAGAAAATGAGATGGGTCACATACTGGTTCAGGCTTCAAAACACAACCTTGTTCTTCTACACTAAGAAGAATGGAAATGCTGTAAGTGTTTTTGTTTTATTTAATTAGTAATTCCCGTTTAATTATGGTTTCATTACAGTTAGAAATAGAAAATGCCTCTTGTAAAGATCTCACTGCTTTGTATGTTCACACTGGACGTTTTTCTCTTTGCAGTCGAGCTTGAGAGGATTTTACTACATATACACAGTAAGTCCTTCATATCCCTGAATATTACAGTTTATATACAGGAAGCAGATTTTGCACATGTGGCAGTAAGTGCCCAAATTAACCACAGTAAGCATTTTTATTGAGTGTTTTTTATTTGTTAGCACTAGCAGTGGTGCCTCACTAATTGATGCCTCTGATGAACTACATTCATTTGATGGCTTCACTCACAAGTTGTCTCACAATAATGTGAAATAAAATGTATTCTTTCATTTTACCCTACAACTATATAAGCCAGTCTCACACATGACTGCTTTAACCTCTTCTCTTAATAAGGAAAGTGCTGTATTTAAGGCTGTGAGCAGCCTTTCTCTTTAAATGAGCACCACTTCTCTGAAATGCACTAGCACATATTTTCCAGTCTGTTTGTGATTTCTGGGGTACTTCCGCAGCTGTTGCGCCTGTACGTGAGTTTGGATTACCTAAATGTGTCATCTGTCCTCTGGGTCAGGTGCAGTCAGTGCGAGAGGTCCAGAAAGCTGACAGGAAGCGCTTTATTTTTGAAATAACCATGACAAATGGGAAGAAAAAAGTGTTGGTGAGTCATCACTGCGTTTTAGAAATGTCATATTTCTAATTTTGATATGCATGTTGTCAATTGTAAGTTCAATCCTTTTCCCTCTTAAACCACTGGACGCATGTGTGTGGTGCAGGCAGCAGAGACGGAGGACCTCAGGAAGGAGTGGGTGAGATGCCTCTGGCAGGCCATGCATCTCTCTGCCTCCACGACCTCCGTCTCTGAGGGCGCACAGTAAGATCTGAATTTACAATCATATCCCGGCAAATCTTCTTTCTTTTGATTTTTTTTGACCTTTCCCTTTTTCTGTTCCTCAGACTTGATGTGTGTGAGCAGCGAGAAAGACTACATAGCATGGCACCCATCTGCTCACACCGCGAAAGTGTCATGGAGGAGCTTCCAATTCGGCCCCTCTCTGCGCCCCCTCCCTCTGACTACATCTACGCACAACCCCATAAAATCTGCCCCCGCACCAAAGACACCTTGCAACCCAAAGACACCTGGCAACCCAAGGAGACCTCTCAGCTCCAAGACACCTGGCAACCCAAAGACACCTGGCAACCCAAGGAGACCTCTCAGCTCCAAGACACCTTGCAACCCAAAGACACCTGGCAACCCAAGGAGACCTCTCAGCTCCAAGACACCTGGCAACCCAAGGAGACCTCTCAGCCCCAAAAGACCTGGCAACCCAAAGACGCCTGGCAACCCAAGGAGACCTCTCAGCCCCAAAACACCTGGCAACCCAAAGACGCCTGGCAACCCAAGGAGACCTCTCAGCCCCAAAACACCTGGCAGCCCATAGAGCAGGACAACGAGGAAGGCATTTATCAGAACACAGGGAAAGCCTACCAGAATCGCAACGGTAAACATGATCATGACTGTCTCTCTGCACCATCACAGCTTGAATTGTTATTTCTGGTGCTAAATGCTGCTGTTCTCAGATGACTGTCCCAGCGATCCCCAGTGGTCCAGCCAGATGAGCAGTGCAGAAGCCGGACAAGAAGGACACTATGATGTTTTGCCTATTAGAAACAGTATGACCAAAAACTTTCTTGAAATAGTTAAGCTTTCACAATAAGAGCATGCAGATGTCCAAGAAGGGGCTCTAATGTGTGTCACATCTTCAGGGTTGTGTAAGGCGAACCGCTCAGCAGAGGCAGAAGAGGACGTTTACGATGTCCCTGCGTTCTACAGACAGACTGCTGAATGTCATGGTGAGACTGTGGTTTGCTTGTAGAGGAAAGAAGTGAAAAGTCTGAATATTTGTTGTTGTTTGCTGATGTTTTATCCATTTCACACCCTCGCAGAGAGTGTCTATGATGTGCCAAGCTCACTCCTGAGAACCATGTGTGATCACACCATAGGTAACTTCTATGACTTTACCCGGTTAAACAATTAAATAACCCAGTTCTTCATAAACTCATTTGACAATGTTTGTTTGCATCTGCAGACAATCAGCCAGAGGAAGGAACCTACTGGAATATATGAGGTGTAGTTTCAGAGCATCGGTGGAGGCCGGCAAACTCACCAGCTTTGGATTGGAAGACCGTCGCTGCTTCATCTCTTTATCTTTGTGTTTCAGTTTTAAATGAAACTAATCGCGTCTTCTACTCTGGTTTATTTTTTTTCCCCAACCGACTCTACACAATGAGAACTTTTAACATGTGCTGCAATAGTTTGTTTTGATGCTGGTATGTAAAGGCAGACAGGCAGTAAAAACGGCATCAGTTCTGTGAAATGCACTTGCACACAGTTTCATTGTATCGGTTGCAGCCAAAGGAAGGAACTAAGTGGATGATTTGAGCTGTGGTTTCAGAACATCAGCACAAGCAGCTCCACACGCTGTCAACCTTGGGAACTGTTCATTTCTGTATTTTATTTGTTTTAATAGAAGTAGCAGTATTGGATACTAGTACTATTTATACAAATGTAAATAATATCCCTCATCTTTGTTCAATGTTTCGTCTAAAACTAGGCAACAGATACGACCGCAGCAGAGGTTCAACTGTGGTATTTATTTACTCCTTCTATACAAGACCAGAGAACCACAAACACATATTTATAGGTAGAGAAAACATGCTGTACAGAAATGTGTACACACAAAGAACTGCAGGGTCAGTCACACTATGTTTCACAAAAGTAAAAACAATTCATTTTACATGTCAAACTTGGTTCACAGTTTAAAAGTATACACCATTATACTTTACTGATATTGCTGTATTACACACTTTGGACTTGATTTAATGGGAATGATCTGAGCTTAATGCTAAAACACTTTAAAAGAAGGAAAGAAAGTAAAAGTCTACTATGAGCTTGTTGTCAAATCTGTATTTTTAATCTCTTATTTCATTTATTTTGTGGGAAACTCTTTAAACGCCACGCACTCAGTTTAGTGATGTAGCGAGCGATCACGTGGTGCCTGTGAGCTGATGAAGGCTGTGATACTGAATGTAAACAAAAATATTCACACATTACAAATACGACAATTTTCTTTCCGTTACCAGAGTAAGACTAAACATACAGTTGGTACACACACAGGATCCTTACTCATTAAAATAATTTAGTAGTGCATATATTGTGTTGAAATACAAGCAAAAACAAGGCGCACGTATGTAACAAGCAATGCGTAAAAAGTGATTTGTGCAGTCGCAGTAATTTTTTCCCCTCACAATCAAAATAAATTCTAAATATTAATGAATTGATAAGAATAGAATTAAATAAGCCACACGCTACGCCCTGTTGTCATCTTTGTCAGTTAGCAAAAATACCAGAAATAATATTTGGTTCATAGTATCGTGATACACAACACAAGCTGCACTACCCACTCAACAACTGCAGTTTAAACAATCTGTTTTTCTTCAATTTGTACTTCTCTTCACTGAGGTAATGTCCTTAGAAAGTTATAATTTGTGAATTACAGCTGGCGTTAATAGTTGTCATTGTTAATACAGTGATGCTACTAAATCTGTCACTGCTTTACAGTACAGTATATTCCAAGTCTGACCACCAGTCTCCAAAACAGTTTTATAACTTACACATTTTATTACGCAGCAGCCTCGACAGCTGTGATTCTCTCAGGATATCTGATATTTTAGATTGTAGTGTGAGGTTTGCTGGTAGTGCACGTCGGTCGGGGATCACGCTTGGGCCTGGGATTGTTCCCTGAGGAACTCCTCCAGGACCGTGATGATGCTGCAGGCTTCGGGCAGGTCGCTGTGCTCGGCCCGGGCGTTCTGCAGGAGCACGTCCCCGTTTCCGCAGCCCTGCAGGAACTGGCAGCAGCGAAATAGCGCGTAGTGACTCATCTCTGCCTGCCGCACAAAGCGCTTCAAGCTGTTCATGTCCTGGATGGCCTGCAGGGGGAGAGACAAAGTAGTGGGTTTTACAAAAAGGGAAGAGGCGAGGATGGAAAAAAAA